AAATACTTGTGTGTGTGAGTCTATATATATATAGACGTTGGCACTCTCTGAAATCAACATGTATACAATAATATATACACTTGTATATTAAAGCCTAAAAAATATAAACCTCAATATCAAATGTAGCGCGTTCAACGACGTTTTCAACAACACACCAGCAATCTGAGCTTCCGCATCGGCCGAATAGTCGCTGTGTAACTCCTGCGAGGTAATTTATGGGTCGACTATTAGTGATCTTTACTAGTTAATTACATTGTATTATGAATAGTATACAAGTTCAAGATAAATTATGGGTGGACTATTGGTGATCTTGACTAGTTAATTACATTGTATAATGAATAGTGTACAAGTTCAAGATTTAATTAATGGACTAATAGTTATCTTGACTAGTTAATTACATTGTATATGAATATAGTATACAAGTTCAAGATTTAATATATGGACTATTAGTGATCTTGACTAGTTAACTACATTGTAAAATGAATAGTATACAAGTTCAAGATTTAATATATGGACTATTACCTATCTTGACTAGTTAATTATATTGTATAATGAATAGTATACAAGTTCCAGATTTAATATATGGATTATTAGTGATCTTGACTAGTTAACTACATTGTATAATGAATTGTATACAAGTTCAAGCTATAACGTATGAACTATTGGTGACTTTGAATAGTTAATTACATTGTATAATGAACAGTATACAAGTTCAAGCTATAACGTATGGTACAATGAATTAGTATAGGATTATAAACTACATAGTGCATAGTACAATGTCAAGATAATTGTATGTACATATAAATTATATAGTATATAGTACAATGCCACAGTAGTATATAAATATAAAATACGTAGTATACAGTAATATGTCAATGTTTCTGATGTACATGTAATGCATATAGTATATAGTACAGTACAGTACCGAACTCTACAGTACCTGGCAGCATCCAAATGCACACACGTACACATACCATTTAAACACAAACACACCCTTACAATAAACGTACAGTGTTTTTAAACCCCTAGACATGTGAGAATATCTACGACCCAAACCTTTTCCAACAGCAACTGCAGCATTGCCTCCCGCCCCTTGATGATCTTGGTCATGCCGGTATTGAACTTCTCACACACATGACTCAATTCCTCGATAATCGTCCTACCCGCCAGAAACATGCTGGGATCGTAGGTCTGAAACCTCAGGTTTTGGCGGGAAAGAGTGGTCGCGTGCTCCTCCGTAAACTGTCGCAGACGTTTGACCTCCTTATACACTGTCGTATGTGTAGGTGATGAGTGTGAGTGTGCTGCATGTGAGTGGGTGTGTGTCATGTATAAGTGTGATATGTGTGAGTGTGCTGTATGTGAGTGTGAGTGTGCTATTATGTGAGTGTGAGTGTGCTATGTGTGTGTGTGATATGTGAGTGTGAGTGTGCTATATGATTGAGTGTGATATGTGTGAGTGTGCTGTGTGTAAGTGTGAGTGTGATTTGTGTGAGTGTGTTATGTGTGAGTGTGCTATGTGTAAGTGTGCTATCTGTGAGTATGCTGTGTGTGAGTGTGATATGCTTGAGTGTGCTATCTGTGAGTGTACTGTGTGTGATTGTGTTATGTGTGAATGTACTATGTGTGAGTGTGATATGTGTGAGTGTGTTATGTGTGAGGGTGATATGTGTGAGTGTGGTCCATCG